TCATCACACAACCAACACAATCCATTTTTAAAAAAAATCTTATTGTTCGTTCATACAACCCTTTGTTGAAACCCACGATGCACTTCTCATGACCCCTCTATAAACACATCTTAGTCATAACGTCATCATCCTGCGGCTTTATCTTTGTACTACTTTTACTCACCGGAATAATCTTCATCAGAACCTTATTCCTCTTTGTCGACACTCTATTGGGTTCGAAGGTCACCAATGTCATATTAGTGCTTCACCATTAATGGATAGTAAGTACCAATTTTCAGATTTTGGGTGTGTTTTGTGAATTCACCCTATTAAAATAATTGTATAATTATGGGTTAATGGTTAAGTCTTTATTTTGATGTCACACTATTTTTTTTTTTTTAATGATATCACTCTTTAATGTGTGAATTCATTCTTTGATGTCACACTATTCCTTAATTATGTTATTTTTTGATGTCATCTCATTTTTAGTAACAGTCTTTATTTGGATGTCTTTAAGGATTCACTCTTTATTTATTGTCACACTATTTTTTAGAAGTTGTATGAGGTGGGTATCAATTTTGAATTTTTGGTAATGAATTCATACATTTCGACTGGGTTATTTTTTTTGGGGTTAAAATTTCGACCGAGTTATTTACGAACCCAAATTCATGAGTTTTTGAATTTTTTAGGGATTTGGGGTTAATAAGTAAGAGCTTTTTTAGGAAAATTATAACATTTCAATATACGAAATGGTTACTCTTCAAATCTAAATCATAACTTTCTGGTATTGAAATCAAGAATAATAAGTTGTTACTGGTTTTTATGAAAAGGATTTCGGTTACCGTTTTTTATGGAAAGGTTGCGTCAATTTCAAAGTTTTTCTCTTAAATGGTGCATGAGCATTCCCATTTTTGAAGGAAACAATATTTATTAGTTTTTGCCTTTCTACTAGGACGTGCTATGTTGAAATAGAAAATCAGTTAATGAATTGATTTTGCTTTCTAATTCAGTAAACAGATAATTAAGGGTATTAGAGACATTTTAATCAAAAATGTACTTCTTAACAAAAAAAAAATTGGGGTTAAACTTTTTGACAAATAAATTGTTAAAAGTGTATGTGTACGGACTTTTAAAAAACCTTTTTAATAACTGATTGAAATTGTCTATAGCGGTCGGGGCATTTTGAAGAGACAGATTTGAAGGTTAGAGATGATTTAGGGATCTATTAGGACCTAATGGGCCAAGGAAATGCAGCGTGGTTGGCTCGTGTAAATTTTTATCAAAAGGCCTACAATCCAGTTCACAAGGTATTCCTCCTGGGCTTGGTTGTGTTGGTGACAACCCCGGGCTTGTTTGACTTTGAACCAATCTTTAGGGGACGGATCAGTTAGTATTGCTTGGATTGGGCTTTAGTGTTTTGTTAGAAGCTCATTGATACGTAATCTTGGTTTGTCGTCTTGTTAACATGGAAATTGGAATCACATACATATAATAATATGATAATTTATTTTGTCAATAGTCAATAGGTCCAGACGCGATCTTCATGGGTCACTAAGGACAAAAAATTTGAAATTTTTGGTAAGACCATGTATTGTTGAGAGATTGTGTCAATCATTACCCTTAAAAAATCATCTATAATTATTGTAAATCTGAAGGATTAATGGTGGTAATATTTTTTTTGCACAGTTCATTTTGGCAACATTTGTTTAATTAATTGGTAATGACTATGTGAGTTCATTTTTCTCTCCAAATTAGGACTCTCTCTCTCTCTAACAATAGGCTTCTTAACTGTTCCAAGATAGTAATATTGCCGTAGTCATAAATTGATATATGTTGTTGTCTTTAGTGTCATAATGTGTGTTATTTCTTTTTGTACATATATGTGTGTGTCTATATAAATAAATAACTGTATATATATATATGATAGACAGAGAGAAAGTGTTTTAATTATGAAAGATTTAAGATGAAGAAGATTTTATTTTATTTGGATTTTGAATTGTGTATTTTATATTCTTTGTATATTTTTTTTTTGATCAAATATTTTCTTTGTATTTAAATAAGGATAAATAAGTCTTTTGAAATGAATTTGTCCTCAATTACCCAAAGCATAGGCACTTGAACTTATTGACCAAAAAGATGACCTCCGGCCTCCAAAAACCCCTTTGGTAATNGTCACACTATTCCTTAATTATGTTATTTTTTGATGTCATCTCATTTTTAGTAACAGTCTTTATTTGGATGTCTTTAAGGATTCACTCTTTATTTATTGTCACACTTTTTTTTAGAAGTTGTATGAGGTGGGTATCAATTTTAAATTTTTGGGAATGAATTCATACATTTCGACTGGGTTATTTTTTTTGGGGTTAAAATTTCGACCGAGTTATTTACGAACCCAAATTCATGAGTTTTTGAATTTTTTAGGGATTTGGGGTTAATAAGTAAGAGCTTTTTTAGGAAAATTATAACATTTCAATATACGAAAATGGTTACTCTTCAAATCTAAATCATAACTTTCTGGTATTGAAATCAAGAATAATAAGTTGTTACTGGTTTTTATGAAAAGGATTTCGGTTACCATTTTTTATGGAAAGGTTGCGTCAATTTCAAAGTTTTTCTCTTAAATGGTGCATGAGCATTCCCATTTTTGAAGAAAACAATATTTATTAGTTTTTGCCTTTCTACTAGGACGTGCTATGTTGAAATAGAAAATCAGTTAATGAATTGATTTTGTTTTCTAATTCAGTAAACAGATAATTAAGGGTATTAGAGACATTTTAATCAAAAATGTACTTCTTAACAAAAAAAAAATAAAAATTGGGGTTAAACTTTTTGACAAATAAATTGTTAAAAGTGTATGTGTACGGACTTTTAAAAAACCTTTTTAATAAATGATTGAAATTGTCTATAGCGGTCGGGGCATTTTGAAGAGACAGATTTGAAGGTTAGAGATGATTTAGGGATCTATTAGGACCTAATGGGCCAAGGAAATGCAGCGTGGTTGGCTCGTGTAAATTTTTATCAAAAGGCCTACAATCCAGTTCACAAGGTATTCCTCCTGGGCTTGGTTGTGTTGGTGACAACCCCGGGCTTTTTTGACTTTGAACCAATCTTTAGGGGACGGATCAGTTAGTATTGCTTGGATTGGGCTTTAGTGTTTTGTTAGAAGCTCATTGATACGTAATCTTGGTTTGTCGTCTTGTTAACATGGAAATTGGAATCACATACATATAATAATATGATAATTTATTTTGTCAATAGTCAATAGGTCCAGACGCGATCTTCATGGGTCACTAAGGACAAAAAATTTGAAATTTTTGGTAAGACCATGTATTGTTGAGAGATTGTGTCAATCATTACCCNTACATATAATAATATGATAATTTATTTTGTCAATAGTCAATAGGTCCAGACGCGATCACTAAGGACAAAAAATTTGAAATTTTTGGTAAGACCATGAGAGATTGTGTCAATCATTACCTNAGTCAATAGGTCCAGACGCGATCTTCATGGGTCACTAAGGACAAAAAATTTGAAATTTTTGGTAAGACCATGTATTGTTGAGAGATTGTGTCAATCATTACCCTTAAAAAATCATCTATAATTATTGTAAATCTGAAGGATTAATGGTGGTAATATTTTTTTTGCACAGTTCATTTTGGCAACATTTGTTTAATTAATTGGTATTGGTAATGACTATGTGAGTTCATTTTTCTCTCCAAATTAGGACTCTCTCTCTCTCTAACAATAGGCTTCTTAACTGTTCCAAGATAGTAATATTGCCGTAGTCATAAATTGATATATGTTGTTGTCTTTAGTGTCATAATGTGTGTTATTTCTTTTTGTACATATATGTGTGTGTCTATATAAATAAATAACTGTATATATATATATGATAGACAGAGAGNTAATGTGTGTTATTTCTTTTTGTACATATATGTGTGTGTCTATATAAATAAATAACTATATATATATATATATATATAGTTATTTATTAANTTTTCTCTCCAAATTAGGACTCTCTCTCTCTCTAACAATAGGCTTCTTAACTGTTCCAAGATAGTAATATTGCCGTAGTCATAAATTGATATATGTTGTTGTCTTTAGTGTCATAATGTGTGTTATTTCTTTTTGTACATATATGTGTGTGTCTATATAAATAAATAACTGTATATATATATATGATAGACAGAGAGAAAGTGTTTTAATTATGAAAGATTTAAGATGAAGAAGATTTTATTTTATTTGGATTTTGAATTGTGTATTTTATATTCTTTGTATATTTTTTTTTTGATCAAATATTTTCTTTGTATTTAAATAAGGATAAATAAGTCTTTTGAAATGAATTTGTCCTCAATTACCCAAAGCATAGGCACTTGAACTTATTGACCAAAAAGATGACCTCCGGCCTCCAAAAACCCCTTTGGTAATACATATGCCCCCACAGCATACGGCTCGGGTGTAGGGTAGGGGTGGAGGGAAATATCTATTGTGCATTTGCTGTTGAGCCAATTGAGAATGTATTTTGTTAGGTGTTATTTAAGTGTATCTAATTGAGAATAGGATGATAGTCTTTACCAGATCACAGCTAGACATTTTAGCAAGGAATTTGACTAAGTGGGAAACTATGGAAGCGCCATGCAGGAAAGCTTTTAGATGCCCTTCTGTTCAACTAGCTTAGTTACTAGTTAGAGTAACAGATCAATAGGAAGTCGTCGGAGTTTTGTTCTGTTCTGTTCTTAGTGCTGAAATTGCTGCAGGGCATAAAAGTGAGGCCTCTGGTGAGCAGGGAGACTCAACTATAGCAAGCATTGATTTGGGAGGGGTTATTGGGTTTCAAAGTTCTGTTCTGTAACAGAGTGGGGGACTACTGTTGGAGTTTATTCTACAACTATTGCCATTAAATTTGATTGCCACTCCTCGTAATTTTAATGTAAGTCATAGGACCGATACATGGCTCGGTTTGTCGTAAAAGATTGGTCAACCAATGGCATGGTAACATGAGCAGAGAGACAAGAAAATTGATAAAAACATTCTCTCTTGAACTCTTTATAAAATTCTTCGTTGCAAATCATACAGCATGGACAAACCATGTTCAGAGAAAAAAGAATTAAAAAAAACATTGACAAACCCCATAAATCAATCGAACAAACAAGCAAACGAGGATCAACAGCGGCCTGTACTTAAAAAATTTTACTTACAAGCTTAATTTGAATTCTAATTATGAACTGATCAGTAGATTAAAATGCTTCTGGTAGAGGCCTCCCTTCCAAAAATGCCTTGAACAGCACGAGTGACCTCTCAGGCTGAGAGAAGGGAGCTTCGTGGGATGCTCCTCTAATGGTGGAAAAGGATAGCATATTACCATAAACTTGAGTCCACCCACCAACCTGAAATAGTCAACAGAAATGAAAAACAATCTTTTTGATAGCTCAAAGCCTATGCTCACCTGGCTGCTGAAAATTATAGGAAAGGAAAAAGGAAAGAATTCAAATTCTGGACCTTAAACTTCTAGAAGGAAAAAAAAAACGCAAGCTCCATGCAGCTTTTCAAGTAAATGAACTAAGCTAAGTTGAAGCAAGTTCAATTCTTATAAACAAAAAGATACAATGGAATAGAAACATGATGGCAGAACTGTGGCACTATAAGCAATGACCCGCAATCAGCTCTCCTTTGGGAATCAAGCATTTGGAAATTAGAAGTAAGGCACCCATGTTGTTATCAACATCATCAACAATCAATCTAACCACAAATACTATGCTATGGTGACCATTTTCAGTTGGATGCTAACACAACTAGGGGATGAGGCTCCACAGTCCACACTTGTTCAGAGGGGCCAACAACGCTGCAAACTCGTTCAAATTCATTTAACAACACTTTTTCGGAATTTATTAAAACCCTCCATTTTATGTGACACCGTAGTTGTTCTTTGATCTTGGAGGTACTTCATGCCCCTAAATAGGGCACAGACTCTATATCACTAAGTATTATGAGCAGCACAACATACCTGCATCCCTGCGAACCAGACTCTATAGGGCACAGTTGTGTTCAGTCCCAACTCTTCTGCCAATCCATGAACTAATGTTCGACTTCCAGTCAATGGGATAACAGAATCTTGATCTCCACTGTAATTGCATAGCAGTATATCGTCAATTACAACACTAAAATAGGAGTACTGTAACACCAAAGCCTGAGCTTGGTATTATCATGGAGATTTTAAAGGTCAGAGCTAATACCTGTAAACCAGGACAGGAATCCCTGCCTTGATGAGTCTTCCCACAATAGGAATTGTTGGTATCTCCAAATCAAGCAGCTCATAATCCAAGATACTGTAATCAGGTAAATTTTCTATCAAATAATAAAAAATCAACTTACAAAGTACCATATCTAGAGTAGTTGGCACTACATATATCAACATGCTTTGTCTGCCTCTCAAATCTTGCCATTTGTTGATTCTCTTTCTTCTTTTTACCAGCTTTATTTTCTTTTCCAACTGCATGATTCTATTGCTCAAATTTGTCAGCAATTATAAGGTGCATTCCCAGATATATTCAGGATAATAAACTTGGTGATCTATGGTCCTGCCCTTGTCAACGCTAGCCAATGAATGCATATGGAGGACATTCCGCAATGTGATTTGAACTAACAAGGAGACTCCTAGTATTTTGAATCTGTGATAGAGAATTACTTGCTGCAAACAAGCCATCTGTTCAATCCTACAAGGCGTGCATGAAGAGCATTCTGAACATCTCGCCTATTTAAGTAATTTACAGTTTCATCTTCTACACATACATCTATTGTCTCTGTGACTTGCTGTGACACAAAAGAAACAACAGAGAATGTGTTAGGTCTTCGAACACAGAATCAGAACAATGCCAAATGGAATTAAAGGTGAAAATATGAGAACTCAGATGGAATGTTATTTGAGGGAAGGGAAAAAGATTAATTAAACTCACCTGGGGATTAAGGACACTGGACTGCGAGAGCACAGAAGGTATACAAACATCAAGCGTAACATCATACTTGTCAACAAATCGACTTGTTTCTCTGGTTACTAGGTTCATCACCCTTGAACAAATTGGAGACAGAGAGCCTCTATAGTACTCACTGACATACCGTGAATAATTACAAGTAGAAGTGAACACTTTATATGTTGAATCCGAAATCAATCCATGAGACCAGAAAAACTCAGCCCTTGAATTGAAGTCGGTCACGAATTCTAGAACAGGATTGCCCAGCTGCAGTCATGCAATAGCTAAAATTTAGAGGAGAGCAAAACAATTAAGAGAATAAATATAAAGGAACTTTTGAGGCCTTGTATGAACAAACAAATTGGGTAAAACGAAGTTCATTGCAAACTTTATGTTAAAAATGCTCATAAATTAGTAGCTTTTGGAAATTATTTCTAGAATGAAAAGGTTTCATCCTCTAATGTCATACGACTCACAGCCATTCCTTTCAGATTGAACAACTTCTCTTTCTTGTTGAATTGGACCATGAGCTCTGCTAGCTGAGGAATGTAGTGGCCTTGTTTTAAACAAAGGAAAGTTATAAGTTTCCATGTCTATCTCATTGTTATAGAATGAAAAACAAACAATTGGGTTGACCGACAAACGGCATACCAGCATAGCTTTCTCCCGTAATGAACAAGCTTCTATTTCTGTATTGTGGGAATTTGCGAAACCATCTGTTCAAGAACACCAAATTGTCCCTGGCTATAATAGAAAACACAGACAGACAAAGACTTTAGAATTGAAAGGCAATTTGTAAAGGTGGAACTTTTAAGTCCAAAGGCAAAACAAAAGCAGTAAACTCAGAAGATAACACAAAAGTGGCAACTTGGATGGTAGTACCCGAAAGTGTCAATTTTTTAGAACCATTTTATTATTAGAAGGCAAGATAAAAAGAATGTAGAAAGAAAAAGATGACTTGTAATCTTAGTGCGGAGATGATACTCATTGTTTGAATTTATAATCTATGCAAAAAAGGGCTTCATTTTTTTCAACTAAATAGCTAATCCAACAAAGAACTTGATTCACTGCATTGATAAGGTTGAATAATTCTCACAAAAAAAACTAGGAAATTGTAAGTATTGAATGATAGGAACATGCCTGTGATCTTGTCATTGACGGCCTCATATGAGGAAGAAACAGTTGAATAAGAAAACCCAACTCCAATTGGTGTCTCCAAATACAACATATTTGCTTCTGAAAATTAATAAGAATATACTGAGAATGGTCATTAGGTTGTCTCGAAACCAGAAACCACAAAATAAATAATAATGTAAACAATTTAGTTATGGAATACTACCTCTGTTCCAGCTATATTCGTTCCTGACAAGTACTTCCCCATTAGGCCGAAATGGCCCATTTTCAGATAATGCCCCAACCCCGAACGAAGAACATCCAGGCCCTGCAACCAGAATCAAAGCAACATTCAGAAGCCCAAAGATTCTCTCTCTCTCTACATTCTATGAGTAAATGCACCAATTTTTGTGTGTTTTGTGTTGTGTGTATTTCTTTGTCTTAGATGAATAGTAACAGACCTCCGTTCAACCAAAGAACAAGAGGTTTGGAAGATGGATCCAGTTCTGCTTCCACAAAATAGTAAAAGAGTGCTCGCTGCTTCTTCTCATCGACGGTCACATAGCCAGAGTAATGCTGGAAACCGACTTGGGGTTGCCCGGGCAACTGAGTAATTCTGTCAAAATTGGAAAGAGAAGCAGCTAAACTCATGGAAAAGCTGAGACCAAATAAAGCTATGGCCAATGCCTTGGTTTTCCATCGTAAAGATGGCATGACATTCACTTCAATCAGGAGACTAGAGACCAAAGGAGCTCTAGAGAGACAGAGAGAGACAGGCAACTAAGATGTTGCTCAGTTGGGGGGCATTATATAAAGAGGAAGTCTTGCTCTTTTGTTATTATTTTATGTAACTTTTGTCGCTTCAGAGACTCGAGAATGGAGTTGAAAGAGAGAGAGATCTAAGGAGTGGGGCCTCTCTCTCTCTCTGCTGACTGGCCCAGAGTGAGAAGGTGGGGGTGGGGTAGGGTGTGAGTGTTCTGAAAAAGAAAAGAGAATGGAACACTGAAGCTGTTATTCACAGAAGTGTAAGATTAGTCCCTGTGCTGTTTGTTTTTGTGAGAATATTTGCCAAAATCAAAGAGTACCCATAAGAACTGTAGTGGGTTCCTAAGAACACTGTTCCCACAGAAAGGAGGAGCTTTACAATACTACTTTTTTCCTTTCCTCGGAAAATTGATGCATATAACAACCTGGGTTACTATTTCTCCATCATTATTCTTTTGCCTCTTGGAATTCTAAGAAATAAAATACGGCAGATTCATTCATATGATTATGTGGACGACTTTCTTTTCTTATTATTTCCACAAGAAAAAATCTTCTTGGCTTGTAAAATGAAAATCTCCTCGGCTGATTTCAATTCCTGTTCAAGTTTCAACCATGGAAGAAATTCATGATTAATCTAGTTTTCAAACATGTGAAAATTTTACAAACCAAATAAAAGACAAACCATGATGGATGATATTTAATTTTCTTGCATTATGTTTAATTTGTCTTTTGGACAAGCAAAATTATATCAATATTTGTGTACAACCAACTATATATATGTCTTGTGCATCCGGTTAAATAAAAGTATTCGCCATTGAAATTCTCGTGGGTAGACCTGAATTGTTTTTTAGTTCTTACATGTATTAAAGGTTAATTCCTGAATTATTTGTTTCTCAATGCAAACCTGCATTGAAAAGATTGTTTACGGAAGAAGGGCACTGCGTTTCTTTTCTTTTCAGCGGAAGAGCCGGACTGAGGCTTTTTCACAAAAGGGGAAGCAAGTGATTATTTATCGGCCCTGGAAAGGAAAGGGCGCAGGCACAATTGACGAACCACCCCACCCCCCAACACACAAAAAATAAAAAAAATGGAGGCACTTTAATCAAAGAATCATAAGTCACCTTTTTATATATCGTAGTAATATGATACATGAAATGTGGTGGTGACCGTCCTAGTTTGAAAATGTGCTTGGGAATTGGAAGGGGGATTGAAGTTCATGTAGACCTTTTCAAGTCTTGAAATGGAAGTAAAGTTTCACTTTTTTCTTTAATTTTTTTTGGATACATTAGATTCAAGCTCCATGAAGTTCATTACTAATATACAGAGACCCTCTCAAGTATGATAATTTACACTAACACCCTCTCTCAACAACAGTTTGCAAACGGCACAAGTGAAAATACTAAAACGACTATTTAACCCCTATCAATAACACTAACAAACTTAACACTGGACAACTTATTACAACCACATAATTACCCCCAATTCATATCCAAACAACCTTAAACCTAAAATCACCCTGCCACTTTTTCTATCTTTCATATGCCGATTTGGTATATTGATGTTGTGTTTTTGATTGGTGGGTTAGGTTGCAACTCATGTTTATTGGTAGTTATTGGTGTGGTGATTTTGTGGGTGGGTGTGGTAGTGGTGTTTAGTGGTTCAAGTGGGGTTGTAGTGATTCCATGGTTGTGTGGGGAGGGAGGGGGTCGGTGCTGTGAGAGTGGCGGGTGTCAGAGGTTCATTGGGCCGTTATCAACTAGATGGATTCTTTGGTCGTAATCCATGGGGGTACCAGCGGGAATGAGTTTAGGTATTGGAGTTCAGAGCATCTTGGTTTTTTGTCATTCTTTGGCAAGTAAGATAAGGATGGGGGTGGGGGATTTGGGAGAGGTTAACTGGTGAGCTAAATAAATTAGTAGAATTCATGGGACATTTGGGGAAATGCACAAATTTTGTATTTTCTTGGGTTTTGGTAATTTAGCAATGGTTATTTATGGATAGTTCAGATATTTTATGATGAAAGTATTCTCATGGCATTAAGATTAGAAGGAGTCAGGGGGTAATGATGTTATTTTTTATATTTTAGGACATTTGTATGTATTAATGACAAATTTCAGGAGGCCTGAATATAATTTACATGTTATTGTCGCGAGAGGAGAGAGAGGAGAGAGGAGAGAGGAGAGAGGAGAGAGGAGAGAGGTTTTATGTATTTTGAAGCCTTTTCTTTTAATGTTGATATCCGGTAAAGCAAAGAGACTTTTCCTCTCTATCAACATATGTTTAAAGTATTCAATACAAGGATGACAAGCTTAGACCCTCCAAATCACAGCCCAAAATTTTAATATACTATTGTGTGTGTGTGTTTTTTTTTTCTCATATAGAGTTAGTATTTGGTGTCATTATTTAGGAATTGGGTGGCTTCAAAATAATTTCAATCTTTATAGTTTTTAGATAAAGTGTAATTGAATTTGGTCACCCACCAAATTAAAAATGAAAGTGAGATAAGCTAAGCAAGCAGGATGGAGTCTAGTTCATAATCTCACTACGTCCTAATCCATTCCATAAGGAACATCAACCGATTGAAATGCCAAAAAAATGACTAAAGTATAAAGAAATTACAAGTTCACAAAGTAGAAGACTTTTTGGGGGGACAATGTGATTGGAGGGAAAGGGGGTAACATAATGCCTGAAGGACTAGACTTTTAAAGGTGAAAACTCAAAGTGGATTGGAATTTGGAACCTGCTGTGTGTGTGTGTGGCGTGATGATGGTGTCAAGATGGAAATGATACCCACTCGAGCATGATGGAGAAACCAATTTATCCACCCCTGGAAGTGAATTCTTGTGTGGGCATGTTTTTACCAACGTGGACCAACCATTTTGCAGAGACAAAAAAGAAGGACGATCACGTTGACAATCACCTCATACAGCTTGCTTGCCTTTGTCTTCTTGGGACCCACTCCCACCTCAACTAATTTTCAACGCATAGTTGTTGATTATCATTATAACATAAATAATTATTTATGACACAGAAGAAAACAATTGCATCCGACAGTAAGATTTCTAAAAAAAGAAAAACATAAGAAATCAAACACTTTAATTGCCGATGAGATGTTGACTTAGAGAATGCTGAGAGAATTAACCCAAGTAAGATAGGCGTCCTTGGTTAATTTCCATTCACAGTTGGAGTAGAAGATTAGAATACCAGTGTACTACATTTCAAAGATTAAGGCTTGAAATTATGACAAGAGAAAGAAGGTAAACTAACCAGGGCCCATTTCACACCAACAGAAAGTGATTAATTGTTAATTAGGGGGTTACTGGGTGAAAGATGAGATGGCCTTCAGATTAATCAAGGGTCCTTCTCTTCTTTCCTCATGCGCACCTTTTCACCAAAAGAATGTTTTTTTCCTTTTCCTGCGTGCCTACTCTCTCTCTCTCTCTCTCTCTTGTCGTCTTCACTTTTTTTATGAGGCCTATAGTCATTTGTTATGGTGCATATGTTATAATAATAGTGTGGGTTGTAGTAACCAATCCAACAGCGCATGACATTGCCATAGGCTGACACCACCACTATGCCAGAGATAGATAGATATGTCCATTAAACAAACCCATCAAAAAATTCTAAGCTCCAAACGGCCAATTTACAACCTTCCATCACAGAAATGACAAAACATTTTCCCTCTTTATTCTTTTCCCCTCTAAAGTCGTTTTCGCTGTAACAGTGTTGTGCCTGTCTTAGGACCACCCAAAAACAGTAGCCTCTATTCTAAAAGAATACCCCAACATCACCACATACTTAAGAGGGATTTTCAAGCATGTATTCTAAAATTTTCATCTTCAAGCATTTTTGCATTCAGCCAAGATAGCTTTGCAAACAGGTCTAGATCTAATTAGTCAAAATGCTTTTTTTTTTTTTACCCAAAAGTGGGCCACCAACCAGCTGCCCCAATTCCAGCCCAACCACAGCCACTAACTAACCACAAAACCAATTATACCATTGGCTATTTTAATTACCACTAACTAACTTTTCACCGGGTTTGGATTCCCTCTGGTACTCATAATTATCTTCAATTCTCAGGCTAGACAACCAACCACCTGTGTATTGGCAAAAGATCACCCACCTGTGTAGTGGCAAAAGATCACATGAACATAATCGATCCATCTCAGATTCTCGGATGGTAGATACCCATCCAAGAGATCAGTTATTTAGTACTAACTATCCATGGCATTGGGATTCCATTTTGTATTAATTCTCTCAATGCGTAATAACCAGCCACATGTTTATTGGGGGTCAACCCACCTAAACATAATGGATCCACTTAGATTAATGGTAATGGTAATGATCTTAAATTGAAGACTTTGAATCTTGCCATAATGGATCCACTTAGATTGATATTTGATCTTCTAGCCTTCAGACTTTGAATCTTGCCATCAAGTTTTCTCTTGCTTTTCTCTTTAGATGAGAGACCACTTTCAAGATCATCACTAAAGGAATTATCAAGATCTTCTTCCAACTCCTCGGCCTTGTCATTTTCCTCCACATGGTAAGCGTCCTTGCCTCTATCTTTTTCAAGCTGGCAATTACTCCCAAGCTCTAGAGGAGGGCTCGAGCAAGAACATTAAAAGGATTGAGGATGATTCTTCTCTGCTAATGTTTTTAGTTCCTTCCACCGGAGACGNACTACATTTCAAAGATTAAGGCTTGAAATTATGACAAGAGAAAGAAGGTAAACTAACCAGGGCCCATTTCACACCAACAGAAAGTGATTAATTGTTAATTAGGGGGTTACTGGGTGAAAGATGAGATGGCCTTCAGATTAATCAAGGGTCCTTCTCTTCTTTCCTCATGCGCACCTTTTCACCAAAAGAATGTTTTTTTCCTTTTCCTGCGTGCCTACTCTCTCTCTCTCTCTCTTGTCGTCTTCACTTTTTTTATGAGGCCTATAGTCATTTGTTATGGTGCATATGTTATAATAATAGTGTGGGTTGTAGTAACCAATCCAACAGCGCATGACATT